GCTGACTTGGAGGGCGGTGGGAAGTCATGTAGCTCCTCTGTGAGCACAGTGAGTTGCAGAAAGTCGAACATTTGTCACCTCTGATCTGAATTACAGGGTGGGCCCTTGCCCGCTGGGCAGGGGTGGTGTATTCTGACACCAGAGGTGAAAGGCGGCACGGAGAGCCACGCGTGCCACTTGTCACCTAAGCTTGCTACGGAATTGCAGCACCTCAAGCTGCCGTGCTGCTGGTGCGAGGCCGAGTGCGGGCAGGGGATAAAAACGACGTCTTGGCTGTGCCTTTGGGCCGCTTTGCCTTTCAACTCAGACTTGGGTTCGGTTTGTACCTGTTGCTGGTCACCTGGAAGTTGGCGGTTTTGGAGCGGGGACATTCTAGGGCTGATGGTGGCAAGTGGACAAAGGGGTTTGCAAGCTCCCTGGGCAGGAGGTGCTTGTTTGCAGGCTGCTGTGGAAAGGCACAAATAACAGGGATTTTTGCAGGACCGTCAGTGAAGAGTTGTTGCCTACAGATTACGCCGTGAAACACACTGATGCAACGTGGTGGTTCTTGCAGTAATGCAGCGTCTTGCTTTATTGGTGGAGCATTGAATCTCTCCGCAGCCTTCAAGAGTGAGGCTTGAGGGTGGAGATCTTGTTCGTCCCCCTGACACTGAAGTAACTTTGCCATCGCTGTTAGCGTGGTCTCTGTGCCGTACCCAGTTGTGAGCAGTCCGCTTTGGCGAGCGCGAGGCACAAAGTTTGTATTTCGTTTTGAAATAAAGCTTTACCTGCTTCCGTTGTATGGGGGTTACTTTTGTAAATGGGTCATTTTATAAATGCTTTTCACACTAACACCTTAGTAAATCACTGGGTAAGTAGCTGCGTACTTGCAGCTTTAAAAAGGTAAATATTGGTAAAACTTACATAAGGCTCTAGCTTGTTGTAGGACTGCTGTTTTTGAAAGGAGAATAGTCACTAAAAAGGATTGTTTGGCATAATATGTAAACTCGGTTCCTCTGGGTGAGATGTGGGCGAGCTCTGCTTCAGGTTGGTCAAGCACAGTGTCTTGCTCCTTGATGTCCACTTTGGTGCTGCGATGCTGTCCTTGGTCTGGGTGCATTTGTGATAGCTTGACTATGACATAGCAGAAATGCTGGGGTTTGGCTTTTTCCCTTGAGCTTGTTCAAAAGTCTGGGAAATAGAAGAATCCGTAACTGGAAATACTCTTACAATACTCGAGGTGGAGGTGCTGCTTTCGAAACCAGCAGAAAACGTCTGCCCTTTGGGGCCGAGTTAGTTTTTTGTCCCCTCGGTGAGCCCAACCGGCGCGTGGTGCGGTTGGGCAAGGGCCAGAGCTGGCCCAGAGGAGGTGCAGGGCTCTTGCCTGCGTGGATAGAGGGGCTGCCGTGTCTGTGGCCAGCTGAGATCTTTAACTTGTTGGTTTGCAAGTGTTGCCTAGTAATGGGGTTTAGATAAATCGTTGGAAGATGAAAGCTTTGGCTTTGGGGAAGCAGGAGGAACAAGTACTTGTTTACTCCGTCCTTTTCCCCTTGGTCCGTTATGGGGTGGTTCTTGAGAGCTTGTAGATACTCAGCACCTGAATACTGATGCGTTTTTACTTCAAAACCTGTGCCATTAAACACGGGCCCAAAGAGAAGGCAGCTTCTCTGGGGTTGGATAGGCTCTTGCTTAACTCTAAATTTTGGGGCTGTTTGGGGCTTATTAGTAAATAAGCCCCCAAAAAACCTTTTTCAGGCTTCAGGCGCTTCAAAATAAAGCATCAACATAACTTCAACTGTATTTGAATTACCGAGACATCCTCTATCCCCTTCGGCCCTGTCTAAATTTAGAAAGATATTCGGCTTTTACCTTTAAATGTTCTCCTGCCTTTGGTATTCTCACAGTCTCCCACTTTCATCAGCACTTACCCACCCAATTACCTCCCAATTTTAAGAAGGGCACAAACTATTTCTGGAAGAAAAAAGGATCGGGGATTGTCCAGCTCTTGCTCTGCTCCGGTAAGCCACGTCTTGAACTGGCAGAGCCAACACAGCCTACGTTTGTTACCCCAACTTCAGCGCTTGCTGAAATAGGCACAGGCTGCCTCTCAAATGACAGCGAAACAATCTCGCAAAATAACTGCATCCATTTCCCTGCCAACCCTGGTGTTCTGCATGCTGGCTCCTTAAAAACGTGTCCATACCAAGAAAAAACATTTCAGCATTTGAATACATTAAGGTTGGGTCAATAAAAAGAATGAAACACACTTGTTCAGCAGCGTAGCTGGAAGTATTGTTTCTGAGAGTAGAGTGAACCGATAAAATCCAGCCCATTCAAAGGCAGGACATGGAAGGTGCACACAGAAAACAGTCAGAATACAAATTCTTCCCTAGGAATTGAAAAAACTCCACCAAAGCCCACCTTGCTTCTCCAAGCTAAACTACATCATTAGTAACAAAATAGCATCCAAAAATATGTAACACACATAGCTCCTTGAGAGCTTTTATTTCTTCAGCTAAACGAGAATTTACAGTCCACGTACTCCCAGTCCTTATGGCGAAGCCTTTCTTACTGGCTTCGGGGGAATGGAAAACCCACTCGCTTCCCACAGACAAATTTAGAGTTAGCAAGATCCTACCCACCCCCAGAGATGCTGCCTTCTCCTCGAGCCTGTGGTTAATGGCACAGGCTTTGAGGTAAAAACATGTCATGACCCAGGTGTGAGTATTTGTGGCCGTGTTCTGCCTGTGCAGGCTCCTCCGTTGTTCGCTCCGGGTCTGCTGGATCCCTGCTTAGAAGTTGTGGCTGAAATTTGGGCAGCCGGAGCTCAAATGAAAAGCGAATGTGTTTCGTATCCAGAATGGAGAACGTCCCTTTGCTCCGTAACGGGGTCTCGCTCTCTCACGAATGCTGCGCTGCACCAGCTTGGGAGGTCGCTTCGAACGCGTGGCGTTCCCCAGCTGATCACCTCCTCGTGTGGGTTCCCCAAGCTGATCTCTCTTATTCACGGTGTTGAACCAAACCCACCATCACCCCCCCCAAAAAAGGCGGGGGGGGCATTTTGTTGAAATGCTTGGTTTGAGAGGTACTGTTAACCTCTAATCTGGTGGGTCATGGGTAGGTAAGGATGGTAGTAAGTAAACTGCAAAAGGAGGGAGAGTGTTCGATATGGGATGCACTAATTGTTAATTTTTTAACCTCCTTCGTTAATACCATCATAGGCTTTCCTAACTTCGCTCACAATAACGCCGTCTCTGACTCTTCATGTGGTAGAAGCTGCTTACAGTTAAATTTGGTAGCTTTCTTCAGTCTTGCCTCTTAAAGAACATATGGGAGAAATGTATTAAATTAAAAAAGAAGCAAGCTTGGGGGAGGAGGTGGCAGAGGTAAGCAGGTGTACTCAGAAACAGCTTGGCACTATCTGGCTCAGGGATGCTCCTGTGAAAGCGTTGGCATGCCTAATGGCAAGGAAGAAGAGGCCTCTGCATTTCAGCATTTGTAAGAAGTCCAAGTTTCAGCGCTAACAAACAGCTTGGATAAAAGGAAAGTGGCTCTGCTAGCTCCTGGCTGACTCTAGTCCAGGGTTTGTGGGCTTTCAAGCTAATTTCGTAGAATACTGTAGTACTTAATCACATCTCGCTGGATCATGGCCCCTCTGAGCTTGGTAACTTGCCTCCAATTTTTTTACTGCTACACCCTGGGTAGGTTTTCTGTTCTTGGAGGTAAACCTGTTCACAGCAAACCTTACCCGCTGGCGGAGGAAGGCGAAGGCAGTTCGTGGCAGGCCCTGAGCGTGGCAGTGTGGCTCGTCCCTGGACAGCTTTCACCCGGCACAGCCGTTCGTGTGCAGTTGCCTCCCGGATTTTACCACAAGTTTGCATCTCGAGGCAACTCTGGGACTCCGGCCAGATGCCATAAATGTTTATACAATAATAGCAAATTAAATTCCCTTTGCATTCTACACAGCTTCCAGATGCCTGTGTGTTGTGGGGATTTTTTGTGTCACGTGTGTGTTGGATTCCAGCTTTCCCCTGGACCAGTTTGCCACGTCTCTTCTGCCGTGGGCCTTTCTGTGTCAGCGTGAGCCGTGGAGGTGTGTGTGAGTTGGGGAGATTGGGCGCTAGTGATGCTGGTCTGGGCCCTTCAGAGCTCAGAGAAGGGCTGTGGCTACCCATCCTCGCAGAAATGTTTGCTGATTTTTTTATTTTTTTAATTTTTTTTAATGGATGCATGATGCAATTCAGCCAGACCTAGGCTGTGGAGCAGCACTGTCCTGAAACACATGCTCAAAAGATGTTTAACATTGCTTATAGACTGTATAGCCATAAGTGAGCTCTCCGTGCTAGCCAAGGAGAATATTTGTGCCAGCGGGGGTGTCAGACGTTGAGCGGTAACCCGGGGGCTACCTAGGCCATAGCTGCCTGCATCCCTGCAGTGCGTGGCACCAAAAGCCTGCAATACTCCTGCCAAAAGCCTGCAATACTCCTGCCGCGGCTACAAGTATCCCAGCTGGCTTCTGTGCGGTGCTGTGTGCGGCTGTCGCGCCTCTGGCCTGAGGTGCGGGTCTGGCTGTGGTGGGATGAGCTGTGGGTGGCTGGTTTTTCCGTGCCCGAGTACCGAAGGCTTGCGAACTGCTGCTGGCGTTGGTGGGAGCAGGCTGGGGTCGAGTATCGGGGTCTCTGCTCCAGTTGCCAGCTGAGGTCCTGTCAGACGCAAACTGCCGGGTGCCTGCGCGTGTGACTCGGCAGCCAAGGGCGATAGTACAGCGAAACGCTTTCACGAGCAGCCCCGTGCTGTGCTGTGTCACGCAGGTTTGATACCAGTGCTCCGGGTAGAAAAGCTGGTCTCAAGTTTAAAGCGCAGGCTTAGGAGATCCTGAAGAGGCTGCTTCTCTGTGGAGGGGTGTAATACTTTGGTGTTCTTCTTCTCCTCCTGGCTGTTGCAGCAAACTGAGTGCTGGTTGGACTCCATGAACATCAATTCCTG